AATGCTTTTTAAATGGAAAGTTTTAATGTAATAATTAACTGGTACAATATAATTTATGAGTATAATAAAGATAACACACCAGCATTTGGAATAATTTTATCAGTGCCATCTTCAAACAAGCTCAACATCAATTGGTGTGCATATATCACAATGAGATTTTAAAATACAACCATTTACTGCAGTTTATTTGCAATATTTGCTGCATTTCAGCTCTATTGAATAGAATGCATGAATGTTAACAAGCTACCTAAATAATTTCTGTAGTGAGCCAGAGAAGCGGAACTAAATGGGCAGTGGAGAAGTGCCCTGAAGAGTAGTTTGAAGTGTCTGTGCAGCTGTGGAGTGTTTGGAAACAAAAGTAAATTGGTGTGCGGCAATTAGAGATGAAGTGACTTTTTTTTAAGCAAAAGCATCGTGTAACCATGAATCAAAGCTGCAAAACTGTAAACAATGATAGCAATTTAGTAAGCAGTTGTAGCCACAAAGCAAAAGAAAGGTGGATAGATAGGAGAAAGCAGTGGTTGTCAAACATTAAATGCTTCAGAAACACGGGGAGCCTTGTTAAAACTCAGTTTTCTGGGCCCATCCCCCAGTTCAGTAAGTCTGGGGTGGGTCCCACAAACTTCATTTCTGACAGATTCCCAAGTGATGCTGCTGCTATTACACTTTGAGAACCATTAGCATAAAGATAAATACCAGGTTATTTAATCACATCATATATACGTGACTAATGTAACTTCATTATCTTTAAATATGTAAGATAACACTATATTAATACTTGACTCAAGTATGATTTTCCTCTCAGCCTACTTAAATGTTTCTTACTAAATCATCCTTTCTGACCAGAGTGAACTCAATTTTTTCTGTTTCAAGAATAGTTTCTTAGTACTCTGATATGTTTTGGGTCCTGGAATCGTAGAATCTCATCAGGAACATATAGTTCTGTCACTTGATGCACAAATCTTGCCTCAGCCATCCCTGACAAATGGTCATTCAGGCTGTGCATGAGCTTACGAGTATCAAGAAATCACTATTCCCCAAAGCAGCTCATTTCATGGATAGAGAACCATGACTATTTGGAAGTTCTCTCATTAACTGGGCTAAAATCTGTTTTTCTATAACTTTTACCTATCGATCCCAGTTCTGGCTCATGTACAATATGAAAAATGGAAGATATTATTACTAAGGTTTTGTGACTATCTTCAAATACTTAAATATATCCTCTCATTCTTTCTTCCATCATCCCTTTTTTGGGTAAAGATTAGCATATTCATCAACCATTGCTTGTAAAAACGAGGGAGGGTACTTCGACAAGTTCATGGAAAGGTTTGTATTATCTTTCAATTCTATTTTTCCATGAACTTGTTGAAGTACCCTCATAAGATGTAAAGTCCCCTCACCACCCTGATTGCCTTCTAAATTTTATACCCAGAATTTAACATAATTCTGTAATAGAGTAAAAATAATTCTAATAGAGTGGAACAGCGTGGAAGGTTAGTATAGTAATTAAGATTATATGCTTTGACATCAGAGAGACTTGAATTTGAGTCTCATCTCTGCCTCTTTAAGCCTTGTGATCTTGGGAGAGATTTTAGCTTCTTTGACAATCCTTTGCTTCATATTTAAAGTGGGGTTATAAAACTTACTCCACATCTGGTGCTAGATAAAAAGAATTAGCAAACAGCTATTTGAAAAGCATTGAAATCTTTAGACTTCACCTTGTGAAGCAGGTGAACAATTATTCTGAATACCACCCCCTGCAACACACAACCCCTGGCAGAGTCTGGAGATTTGTTTTCTGGAGAGGGTGGATTAGAAGTTCTCTGAAATCAGAGATGCTAGATATAGCTGGGGGCATGGACATCATAACCAAAACTGCAGGACTAACTGACTGTATGCAAACCAAATGCTGAATGCTTCAGCCCCCTTTCCTTCCTGGACTCCCCCTTCCCTACTGGTAGCCAGACCTTTAACCTCTAGGTAGGAGGAAGGAAAACTATTTTTATAAGAACCTAACCTGACTCAGAGGCAAGAACTAAATATATTGACATTGGTGGTTCCCTAATAAATGACTGTACACCGAAGCTCAAGGTTGACATGTCCCATACTCACACTCAAAGCTTCCTTTCAACTTTTTAACACTCCATTCTTAATCATAAGCAGACAGCAAGGAGTACCAGATATCTGAAAAGAAAACCTCTAACATGGAACATTGAGCCAAAAACAAAGAAAAATAATTTGGAGGAAACACACATACTATGAAGGGAAAGGAAAACTTTTTTAAAAAGCTTATCATTAATACCCTCAAAGAGATACGAGAACATGGTGTGTTCATGAAACAAGAACAGGGTGTTTAAAAAATTTCTGAAATGGGGGGCCGGCCCGGTGGTGCACTCGGTAGAGTGCGGCACTTGGGAGCGCGGCGGCGCTCCCGCCGAGGGTTCAGATCCCATATGGAGACCGGTCCGCTCACTGGTTGAGCGTGGTGCAGGCGCAACACCAAGGGTTGCGATCCTGTTACCAGTCACGAAAAAAGACAAAAAGAAAAAAAAAATTTCTGAAATGGATAAAAACAAAACAAGCTCTTGAAAATTAAAAATGTAATAGCAGAAATGAAAAACTTAATGGTAGGATTGGAAGCCAAAGTTGACAAAATCTCTAAGGAGATAGAGCAAAAAGACAAAGGTAGGAAAAATGGGAAAGAAAAATAGGAAAATTCGATGAGTAGTCCAGGAGATCTAACAGCTGAACAAGAGGAATTTCAAAAAGAGAGAACAGAGAAGACACGGAGGAGAAAATAATTGATTAAATCGTTAAAGAAAATTTTCTGAAGCTGAAGGAAATGAGTTGCCTGATTAAAAGTCTCACTTTAGTTGACCTCAATGAATGAAGAGTCCTGCTTCAGGGCACATCATCAAGAAGCCACAGAACACTGGGGACAAAGAGGAAATTCTGTAATACTTCAGAGATAAGACGGGTTAAATGTATTGAATAAGAATCAGAATGGCTCTGAGTCCTGAGCAGCAGTACTGGAAACAAGAAGACAGTGAAATGTGGCCCTCAAAATTCTGAAAGAAAAGGATTTCCCGTCTAGAATTCTTTATCTAACCAAAATATCATTTCACCTAAGGGTGGAATACAGACATTTTTCAGACATGCAAGTTCTCAAAACTTTTACTTCTCATGCCTCCTTTTTCAGTGATCTACTGGAGAATGTGCTACACCAAAATGAGAGCAAACCAAGAGAGAGACATGAGATATAGAAAACAGTAGTACCAACCTGGGAGCATGGTGCAGGGACCTGTCAGATGACAGCAGTGATCCAGACACAGAGCACACCCAGGTCAGAGTGTAGCAAGGTGATTCAGGACACAATGCGTGAGGCTGTCATCATAAACATGCTCGCTACCATTATTCCACCTTTTTAATCCAAGGATAGAATGTCTGGATTAGCCTGACCTAGATTCTTGAGTAGACCTGACCATGTGCTGATGAGGTTCCTGCTTCCCTTTTCATGTTCTGCTACTGCATCAGCTGAGAATATTCATTTCATCCCAAAAGGTTTTGTGATGGGAATTTTTCCTGAGAACTGTAGATAGGCCATGGAGAGTTTTGAGGCAGAAAATAGAAACTCCCTGCCCCAACCATAATTTTAATAGGTGGTCAATTGTTTAGAAAGGACATGAATATGTAAAGCAAAATAAAATCATGTAGAAAGATAAGTCATGTGTGCTAAGTAGTAAGCATAAATTTCCTTGTTCTATGACTTAGAGTGGTTTTTGTTTTTTTAAGTAGCAAGTTCAGAGTTGCAAAGACTTTAAACCTGGATTTTGCCAGTTTGTACCATATACTGTATACATAAATGAATGTAAATTGATATCCCAAGGAGAAAAAAAGTTCTGTGTTTAAGAAAGTTTGGGAAACACTTGAATAAATTACTGTAGATTTCTCACAATTTTAAATGTGCTAATGAACATTGTTAAACTCCTAATGGAAGGCACAGCATTCAATCGTCCAGTTTTATTTGACCACAAAGCCCCCCCCCTCCCCCCGCCACCGCCTTTTTTTTTTTTTAAAAAGATGACCGGTAAGGGGATCTTAACCCTTGACTTGGTGTTGTCAGCACCACGTTCTCCCAAGTGAGCTAACCGGCCATCCCTATATAGGATCCGAAACCATGACCTTGGTGTTATAAGCACCACACTCTCCCAAATGAGCCACGGGCCAGCCCTCAAAGCCCTGTTTTCACAAAACATCTTCTAACATTTTAAGCAACACAGTGTTCCTCAGAGCAGTCTGGGAAATAATGATTTAGAAATGAAGTGTGAGAGAAGAGATTTAATATGATTTTGCCTGAAAGGAAGTTAAAATTTTCTCAAATCTTTAATTTGATGGAAAATAGATTTAGAATGGTTTTTACTTCACTTCTCATTTTTCTCACCAAGAAAATATTATATACATGTGCTAAAGTGTTCTGGATCTTAGAAGAATTGGACTTCAGTCTTGATTATATTTGACCACAGAGAGAAAACAATTAATTTTTCTAACTTTTGGGTACTTGTAGTTGGTAGTTCATTTTGTCATAATAATCTCTGCGGGGGGAAAAAAGATGAGGGAATCTTAAGTTACAGGTTTCTCAGACTTTAAATACCAGCTAAAAATACTGGCAGTCAGTAGAATGGTGTTTAATACTTTTCTGCTCTCTCTGATTAAGTTTAGTGTAAAAATATGTTGGGCAGGGTTTGGGAGTCAAGATGAATACTGATAGTTCTATTTTAGTTTCATTTCCATGGTATTATTGATATATAATACATCTGTAGGTTTTCTCAGTTTCCTACTTTGGGTTTTTTAGGCTTATTATGAATATTTAAAATTTAAAATTCTAAGTAGTTTATTTATGTTGAGACCTTCCATATAGGCTTTTACATTATAAAATTATTTTAACTAATACTCTCATTTGTATGTTGCATAAATCTTTCTCTCTCCTTTATGCACTTTAGTTTCAACTGCCTCTGAGGGAACGTCTTCCTTTTCTACTTTCTCCACGTCATCTCCTGATTCAGCCTCTGCAGAGAAGTCAGTCCATCTCTTACCCTCGATTTTGGCCAGACCTCCCTTCTGGACTTTGTCCCATCTACAGTCATCTTTCACTTCCTTTAAAGATACAGACAAGACTGCCAAGGTTTACCACCCCCTTGCTCCTAGGGGCCCAGTGTCTTGTGATGAAAAGGAAAATGACAGCCTCAATCTACTGGAAATTCTTCCAGGTAACTCTAATTCCACTAAAAAGAAGATAAGTCATATTTCCAACAGTAATCCTGTAGAATTTTCTACCCCAAATGTAAACCACTTCACCTCTCCGTCCTGTTCTAGTTTTCAGACAACTAAAGGCTTGCCTAAAGAACCTGAAGCAAACGATTCCATTCAAGTTCTTCTAGGAGAGGTAAAAACTGGGATAGTTAAATTACATGAGGATCTGAGCATGGTGATCCAAGAACTTAGTGTCGTCAACAGTCATCTGGTGAGCATGAGGGGGAAGAGTCCACAAATGAGCACATCTTCGCAGGTCCCCCAGTCTCCTGAGGGGAGCTTGGATCACATCTCACCTCAGTGTAGACAAGTTTGATAGAACTCATGTGGTTCTACTTCCCAAAGACTTAAGAAGTTAACATTTTATAGATTCTCATTACTATGGCCAAAAAAAAAAGTGCTAGTTTAATTTTTCTTTGTCAGGTTTATTAGCAAGTGTCTTTCTAACCAACAAATCCAATTGGGTGGCTTACTTTTTAAAGAGAAAGATGTCACCTTTGACAATTTCAGATTTAGATATTAGTTTATTTGAAACTGAAGAGAATCTCATTCTTTTGTGCTCTGTACTTTACCTCAAAATCGGTTAAGCATTAGTGAAAGTTGTGGTACAACCTCAGCCTGCACATGACTATTCAAGAGCGTTTGGGTGGACAGCAAGAAGCCCTTTATTTTTCAACTCTTGGAAGTTTTTTGCTACCAAGCCTCTGTCTTGACCCAGAAGGATTCAGTTTGGGGTAGATGTTTCACATGTTCTCTTGCAAGTTTCAGGTTCTACAAACCAAGGGCCAGAAATTTTCTTTTCCCTCTTTCAGGTGCCACAACATTGGGAGTTAAGACAAGTATGACATGGGACAGGTGTTTTTATTGTGAATGTATATTGCAAATTGAATTCAAACACATACTTTTTTTCCCTTCTATTTCAGAAAATAAATGTCGTATTTTTCATTTTATGTGTATCTTTTTAATTTACTAAGAAAGCCTTTCAAATAGAAACGTTTCAATTATTTATGGGCAAAATAACCTATTTTGGGTACTATATATAGACCAGTGATTCCCAACCCTGCTGTACATTAGAATTGCCAAGGAAGCTTTTATGTTGTTTTATATTTGAGAGAATAATGTAATGAGCTCCATGTTTCCATCACTTAGTTTCAACAATTACCAACTCAAAGCTAAAATAATCCCTGATTATTTTGAAGAAATGTGGAACATTTAAAAAATATACTAATGCCTGAGTCCCACTCCCAGACAAACTGAAACTGGTTTTCATCATACAAACTGGGTTAGGATAAAGGGATTTGCCAGTGCAAAGACCCTAAAGCAGGAGGATTTTTGGATGTTGGAGGAATGGCAAGGAGGCCAGTGTGGCTGGAGTGAAGTGAGCAAAGGGGAGAGAAGGAGGAGATCTGAGGTCATGGAGCAAAGAGCAGAGTATGGCGCCAGGTGACATACATAGGTTCTTAAAGACCATTGTTAGAGATGTGAACTTCTAGTCTATGAAATAAAAATTATGACAGGTTTAGGGTACAAAATGACATGATGTGACCTAAATTATAATTGATTACTCTGGCTTTAGCGGGGGAAGTGGTGCAGGGACATGGGGTGAGGCAGGTAGCCAGTGAGAAGGGTGTTGCAGGTATCCAGATCAGAGCTGAAGGTGGCTCAGAGTAGGGCTGACATTTCAAAGATAAGTGAGAAGTGATTAGTTTAAGGATTCACTGATGGACTTGATAAGATCTATGCGAAAAAGAGAAGTTGAGGACAAATCCAAGGTATTAGAATGAGCAACTGAAATTCAAGATGAAGTTGCCATCAACAAGATGAGGAAGGTTACAGGTAGAGAAAATTTTGAGGTGTTCATTTTTGTATTTGCTAAATTTCAGTTATCTATTAGATAACCAAGTAGAGATGTCAAGTAAGCACCTGGATATGGCAGTTGAGTTTGAGACAGGGCCTAGATTGGAATGGAGGCTGGGAGTTAGTTATTTGGTTGTTGTTTAAAGCTGTGAGACGGGATGAGATCTCCAAAGAGGTGAATGTGACAATGGAGAGAAAGTGAAGAACCACTGAAGGAAGCTGAGAAGCCACCACTGAGGTAGGAACAAAACACTGTTTGGAAGCCAAGAGTGTACAGTTGTTCATTAAACATCCATAAGACCTTTGTCTAGATCCACCAATTGTTAACATTTTTCCATGTTTGCTTTATCTTCCTCTCTTGCTAAACATGTTTATGTCTATGAGTACATACACATTACTACACATTACGTAAACAGATGCATGTTTTGCTGAACCATTTGAAGGTAAGTTGCAGACATGACACTTCAACACAGAATATGTCAACATGCTTATTACATGAATAAGGGTAATTGTTTTACAACCTACCTTCTAATTTATCACTTCTTTCTTCAGCTGCATCTAATCTGTTTTTAAATCATCCTGATGTTGGAGACATGGTCCAGGTGGCCCAATAGTCGGCCTCAACCCACCCAATCATCTTCCCAGGTTCTTGACTCCGCCACAGGAAAGAATTAAAGGGCAGACTCATAGTAGAAAGTGAGAACAAGTTTAATATAATAGGAAATTACAGGTTCCACAGAGTGAGTGTGGCATGCTCCAGAGACATCAGGGCCCACACCAAGTTTAACACAAAAGTAAGGTCAGTACAGACATCAAGCCTAACACAAAAGCAAGAAAAACATACTTAAAAAGTTCAGTACAAAGTGCAGGCTGTCTCAAGAGAATGAACAGCCGCTTGCTGAAAGTAGATACAAAATAAAATATACATATCTCAGCCAGTTTGCCTCCAGGAAAGTGAGGGACAACTCCACCTTTGGAGGGGATTCGGCTTTTATAGTTTCTCTATCTAATGAATATTCAATTAAGGGGTGGTTCCATGTTATGTAACATTTAGTCTTGCACATGCTCAGTCAGTCCCTTCCTGGAGCATGTTTGTTGGTCAGATCCTATCACATGCACCAGCCATATTCAAGAATATTCTGTGCTCTATTGAACATGCCCAGCCACTGGATTTGCATAAGACAGCCCCTTGTGGTCTCATCTTCTCTGTGTTGCTGCTGAAAATAGGTCTACCTGGTAAGAGTAACTTTCCTCCAGAGGAGGAGGCCTCAGACCTCAGGGAGTAGCTAGAAACCCAGAGGCATGTCCTGAAACCCAAGCCCAGGGAAACTGAGCACCTCTTATATCAGTCCCATTAGGTTTTTTTGTATTTTTCATTTCTAGAATTCTAGATGTTCTTTTAAAATCTGCTACATATCTTTTTGTAGGTTAATGTTTCTTGTAGATATTTTCAAGCATATCTTTATTAGTAAGAATAGTAAGTAAACTAGAGAGTATTCTACTAGCAAACTAGTAATAATAATTTAATATAGCCATGTAAGGCTATAGATTTTTTTTTTTACATGGCTGCATTCTACGTAGTTTTAAAAATTGAAATATAACTCACATACTGTGAGATTTACTCTTTTAAAGTGTGCAATTCAGTGGTTTATAGTATATTCAAAAGCTTGCACAGCCATCAACACTATCTAATTCCAGAACATTTTCATCACCACAAAAAGACAGGCCATACCTGTTAGCAGCCACTCTGCACTCCCCCCTCCTCCAAGGCCCCGACAACCACTAATTTACTGTTTGTCTCCACGAATTTGCCTACTTGGGATATTTCATATAAATGGAATCACATAATATGTGGCTTTTTGTGTCTGACTTCTTTCACTTTTGTTTTAGAGGTTCATCCATGTTGCAGTATGTATAAATACTTCATTCCTTTTTATGGGATGGCTGAATAATATTCCATTGTATGGATATAGCACATTTTGTTAATCCATTCATCGGTTGATGGACATTTGGGTTATTTACACTTTTGTTTGCTATTAAGAATGCTGCCATGAACATTTGTGTGAACATATGCTTTTAGTTCTCTTGGAAGTATACCGAGGAGTGGAATTGCTGAGTCCTATGGTAACATATTTAATTTTCTGGAGAACTGCCAAGCTGTTTTTTGAAGTGGAAGCACCATTTACCACAAATTTTGGTATGTAATATTTTCATTGTCTTTTGGCTCAAAATACATTCTAATTTCCGTCATGAAGAAGTATAGAGGTATATTTCCTAACTTCCAAGTATATTATACTCTCTGATAGACTAACACTGATAATTTTTACAGGTCTGTTTTTGTTATCTATTATCTCTGAAGGTTTATGCTCATGGTGTTATGTTTCCTTACGTGCCTGATTATCTTTGGCTATGTTGCTGGTCATGATACTTGAAAAATTATTTGGATGAATAGTACAAGAACTTGTTTTTTGCTTTTGCCAAGTGCCTGGTATACCACCATAATGGTTAGGTGAATCAAGATCATGGCTTGAAGTTCTCTAGAATACCCAGGTTAATCCCAGACTTAAATTCCTCACAAGGGATGGTTCGTTTCCAATTTATTCTCACTGAATAGCCTTTGGATTTCACTTTATTGTAAGAAGCATCTCTTGTTAGACTTCCTGCCTTGTGTGATCTGATTTCTGTTCCTATCACCTTTCAAAGCCATCATAAAGGAAGTTAGAGATTGTTGGACTCAACAAATGACCTAAGGGAAAAGTGGCTTGTGTGATCACTTACCTATCAGATCTCTTTTTCAGAACTCACTATTTGTTAATAAGGCTCTGTACCAGGCCCTGGGAGCAAAATTGGAGATAGTTTCTGTCCTCGCAGAGCTTGAGTTGTAGAGTTCTGGAGGAATTTGATAGATTAATTACCCTCCCAAAATGTAAAAGTCTAGTGGTTCTAGGAAAGGATATTAGGATTTGACCTGGTCAGGGAATTCAGGAAAGGTTTATCTCAGAAAGTCACTTTTGAACTGAAATATGAATTCCAGGATTGTTGAAATAAATGTGGCTGATAACATGTTGGGCAAATAAACTTCTTCATGAAATAAAATAGAGGATAAAATCTTAAGACATCTTCTTTTGGCTTTCTTCATACATCTGGGAGATCCACCAATAGATTCTTAGGTGGTAGTAGGATAGAGTGTCTCATTTTTGTATTTACTTACTATGTGCTAACTACATGCACATAGTAACCTCAGACTTTAACTAGGTTCTACATAGCTCATATATTTTAATGCAACCATTTGTTAATTAGTATAATTAACAAGCACTTATTTGAGCTTCTATTTAGCCAACTCCATTAAGTGAA